GGGTCCCAGCCCAAGGCCACCTGCGCTGACCTCCCCCCCACCCCCGGAAACCTGACCCAAGGATGAGACGCGCAACCCAGCGGGCGGCGGTCACCGGGCTGCAGGTGCGCGGCGCTGTCCTCAACGGCGACACCTGCTCGTTGGCCTTGGCCTCGGCGACCGGGTCCCAGGGCGCATCTGGTACGTACGTGAGCCTGTGGTTTGGGTCACGGCGTTGTCTGCGGGGGTGGGGGTGTCGCAGGGACTGTAGGGCAGCCCCAGCGGGACCCTGCACGGAGCCGCGCTCCCGGGGATGCTCCCCACCAGTGCGGGGCCAGGAAGCCGGCTGTGCAGGGGTGGGGGGGGGGCTGTGCAGGGGCGGGGGGGGGCTGTGCGGGGGCGGGGCGAGCTCTCGGCGGCGTCTCCGTCTCCCCGCGCAGCTCGCGCAGGAACTGCCCTGCGGGGACACCGCGTCGTCCAGGACGTTTTCTATCGCAATGAAACCTCCCCCGCGGCCCTGTCACCCGCTGACCCTGCCGCGCCCGAGCTTCCTTTCCGGGGCTTGAGCGGGCGGCGGGCGGGCCGGGCCGGGGCGGGGGGGGGGCGGGGGGTGGCGGTGCCGCTGGCCGCGGAGCAGCCCCGCGCGGGCCCGAGTCCGGGGTGCACCGGGGTGTCCTCAGGCCTTTGGGGGCAGGAGACACAGAGGGGCCCGACCCGTCGCCCGAATCCAGCTCGGAGCAGCAACCTGGGTCCTGAGCTGTCCCGGCGGAGCCCCCGTTGCGGCCGGACACGCGGGGACAGTGGCCCCGGCCCGCTCTCGGCTCAGGCCTTCCTCGCGGTCCCGACCCGGCCCGGCCCGCGGCCACGCAGGGAACCTCCCCGGGGCTGCTCCTGGACTCGAGGGCGCGGATGCTCCGAGGCTCCGCCTCAGCGTTTCCAGCAGTCCCCGGCCCCTCCTGAGCCCCCCCCCCACCCCCTGCCCGCGGGTCCGGAAACGCCGCGCCGCCCCTCTCGCTCCCGCCGCCGCGGTCCTCCCCCTCCCCCTCCTCCCCCCTCGCCCTCCCCCTCCGGGGCGCCCCCGGCACCCGGCACCCTGGCGGCCCGCCCCAGCCCCTTGGCCGCGTGTCCTCCCGCGTCCCCCCCCCCCCCCCCCCGCCCCTACAGCCACTCTCCGCACCGCGACGACGGGGGAAACGTCTCCAGGCTTATCCGCCCGCGTGTCAACCGCCCTCACCGCTGTCCCATCCCTTCTCGGAACCCGCTTCCTTGCCGCCACCCTCCCGCCTTCCTCTACCCGCCTCACTGCCCTTCTGTGCACATCCCCCCCCCCCCGTTTTGTTTTTTGAAGATTTCGTCGTTTATCTCAGAGACGCGCCCCTGAGCGCGGAGGCACGGACGCCAGGGAGCCCCCGGGGCTTGAGCCCAGGACGCGGCGCCCAGGACCTGAGCCCAGACCACGAGCTGCTGCTCAACCAACTAGACGACCCAGGCGCCCCTGTGCACCTCTTTTTTTTTTTTTTTTTTTTTTGTTTTTCCCCCTATATCCTTGCGGCCGTGCGATCCCAGGCCCCTCCCATTTTACACTAAGCCATCTATTCCACTCTCATGGGTTCAATTATTTGTGGACCCCAATCTCAGCCCCTCTCCCGAGCAACAAACCCTATTAACTAAAGCCGACCTCCTAACAAGACACGTCCAACATGCATGCGCCCACTCACACGCAGATTTCCCCCATAAACATTCGCATGATATTGTAAATGCATTTTTTCTTCCTCATGATTTTCTTATGAAAATGTTCTTTTCTCTAGCTTTCTTACAGGAACACTGCACAGGGCACAGCCGACAGAAAATACCTGCTGACCGTCCGCACTCTCAGCAAGGCTTCCGGTCAACAGGCTATTGGCACTCAAGTTTTTAGGGAGTCAAAGTCGTTTGCAGATTTCCTACTACACAGGGGTCGGCACCCCTAGACTGCACTGTCCAAGGGCCGACGGGGATTGCGCCATAAGCGTCTTTCCCCGGACATCCCAAATTCCCTATGCCCGAATGTTCGTTCCCTCGTGTCTCGGTGAACCGCGATGTTCAAGCCCAAGCCCGGACATCACCCTTTATTCCTCCTCGGACACACGGGATCCCACTTCCTGGACCTCCGTCAAACTTGCCTGTTCTTCCCCCTCATTGCCACTGTCGGGTCCAGACTTTGTTTCACGACTGATGCTGCCCTCTCGGCCCTAACTCCTGCTGTGCCCCCGCGGACGACAGCCCCGTGTCCCGCAGGCCTTCTCGGCGCACCCCCCACGCGGTGTGCTCTGCCCGCAGCGCTCCTCCCTGGCGCCAGGGCCTCGGGGCGGGCCGGGGGGCGCTGACATCCCTGCCTAATTCTCTGAACCCGGGTTCAGGTTCCCCCCGCCGTGCTCCCACGAGCCCCCGTCCCGGGCACAGCAGGCTCCCTTCTACGCGAATGGCCTCTTCGCCGTCTCCGTGAAACACAGGCTACGACTTTGACCATCCATCCCCTTAACTGATGTGACTAGCAATATCCCACTTGAAACATAAAATACACTCTGTCTGCTGAATGAATACGTGATACAGGCCTCGCTTTCCTACTCAAGCTGGAAAGGGAACTTTCTCAGCTTTCCGCAGTGCCTAGGAGCACGCCGTAGGATGCTCATTCGTTGAGAGGATATGGAGAACAGAATCGCATTTCATCTTTCCTTTCCTGTCTACGTTCGATATACAGCAGCACAGGCGTAGCGGAGAGTAAGTTCTAAGACTCCCATGTCTTAAACCATACCTGGACAGTTAATCTTGGAATGTACAAAAATGAGACGTTTACGGTAGAAGCAAGACGGTATTTCAGCAAGAGAAATATTCCATGATCCACTATATACATTGCCCTATGAATCCTTCTACAAAAGTCCTTGTTAAAAATCTCTCAAATCTCCAGTCACTGATTATACTATGATGAAGAAAAACACATATAAAACTAATAATGAATTTTACTGTCATTTCCAAAAAGGCATTAAGAAGTATGGAGTACCAGGAATAATGAGAAAAAATAACACTTTAAGAAACATTTTAAAATCAGATAAATATAACAAATACTGTTATAAATACAAATTCGTAAAAAATAATGTCCTTGATTAAAAAAAAAAGAATGTTAAATAAAGAAGGAAAGTTATCAGTAAAAGGTAAATAAAACTTCAAGCAGAACAGGAAATAGTACTAGTAATTTTAAAAATGAGAAAAGGTGAAAAACAACTCTTACTATGCTACTGAATTTTTAAAAGACATCACAGAAGGATCTTGAGATTAACTTGAAAAAATAATACTAAGGCATCTTCCATTTTATTTTTCCAGGATATTTAGCGAGACAGAGAATCATACTAAAATAAATTTATGTTTATACCTGAGGAAGATACAATGGCTAAGAAGCTAGAAGAACAAACTACGGTTCTGTTGTAAACTGCGTTAATGCAAACTACGTTTGGTAAACAACAGCACGAAATGAGGATGGCATAAAGAATCAAAAATGAAACGCTGCACTTTATACTCCATTCATGACAGTCTTTTAAAAATATGTGTGTGTAGTTTTAGGTGAATCATGCATTTTTTTTTTTTTAAATCAGGCTTCATCACTCTTTTTTCCTGACATATCTGTTATGCTGTTTTTAGGTATCCTGAGGTCAAGAAACAAAGGACATTATTTTTAGGTTAGATTCGTCTTTCATAATGGAGACTCTGATTTGATCGACATTAAAGCTTTAATCATCACGTGTTACGAAGTTAAAGTTGTTAATGAATGCATGTTAAATATTACTGAAATAGGTATTTTAAAGTCGATTAATTGAATTTTGGGGGCCATTGTAATCATCTAACCTATTAAAACTTGAGTTTAATCATTACTTTTAATATCTTAATAGAAGACTCAATCGTTTTTTTAGCTTTTAAAGAAGTTCTGCAAAAGGTGACACAAATAAACCCACCAGTACCGGTATAAGCGCCTAAAGCACACGGTGCAACAAGGCAACCGCACAATACGACACCCTTAGATTCACAACTGTAGCCTGGCACTGTTTCGTGTCCGGGGAGTGATGAGACAGACACCAGGCACTCGTCGCACGTCCTCAGCTGTCTACGCTTCCAACAAGCAGAGGCCCAGCTCACGCCCTGTCCTGCTGCGTTCCCAGGCTGAGGGTCGCCCGGGGTGCGCCGTCAGGCCCCGCGCAACCAAGTGGGCGCGCCACGGCCCGTTCCAGTTCGCAGCCTAAGTTCAGCGCTACCTGCCACTGACCTGTGCGGACGTGGCCCCTCGCTCCGCTGTACAGATGGTCCCTGGAAAGCGCCTCCTCTGTGGATGTGTGCAAGCTAGTTCAAGTCTCCCCTGAAAACGCCTATTCAACAAGTTCGCCTATTTCCTGAAGAGAACATCTTGTTCCTGGACGCTCTGTAAAGAGCAGAGTCTTAACGTGGTTCCCGAAGAGGTGCTGGGGGGGGGGGCGGGGGGCGGGGGGCGGGGTAAGGCTGCGATTATTACGCAGGGGAAGGGACCTCAGCGATTTAGCAACGAGACAGTCTTTACTTCTGCCCACGTGGTCTCAGAGCTATTGATTTACCAAGACAATGAAAATGCCATTATCCTGCAGCGTAGCAGTGGATTCTTAGATAGCTCCTTGGGCATATTTACCAGACTATCTTCTAGATCTTTTATTAGATAAAATGCAAACACAGATAATAGGACTTGTACATTAATGATATGTGTGTAGAAGCCTTCTATGTCTCTACTAAATATATTTTGATCTGCTTAAAATCCTGGATGCATTACGGTGTAGGGACGCGCACTGCTACACTGAGCAGAACCTAATCTCAGGAGTTTCATACTAGGTGCCAAGAAATTAGGTTGTCCAAGTATTTTGGAAATAAACTGAAACTAAATCAGCTGCTCCTCTTCTCCCCGTGATCTCACACGTTACTCAAGGCACCTACAATGAAACTTTAAAATTAAGCAGAGAAAAACTTACCTAGTTGGGATTTTGAGTAATAGTTTGCCATTTGTCCACTGTTGCAAGACTGTCGTTTATGTCTTTTTGTTGACATTTCTGTGGTCTTCCATGGTGGCCTTTTTCTTTTGTTCAATTTGCTAAGAGCGGCAGAACTATCAGGATTCTTGTCATAGTTAACACATTTATTTAATTTACTATTGTCAAGTTGGCCAGGAAATCTATCGGTTGAAGGACTATTTGTTTTAGCATTTTCTATTTCTTTAGACTGCTTTTTAAAAGAGTTTTGCCTAGCAGAACGGGATCTTAGGGTAAAGCGCTTTGCTTCTTCCATGCGAGTCTGATGATTACCGCCACTGTCAACAGATTCAGGAGAGTAAATGATTGTATTTAGCTTAAAAGCATTTCTGTGTTCAAGATAGTTGATCTTCCTCAAAAATATTCTACAGTCTTTTAGGGTTTTTGACTTCCAATTATTTGGACATACATTTCCTAGTCTTGGTCCCTTTTCGAAATCTTTTCGGCTGCAATTTGTTCCATTCTCCTTTGCTTCTGACTTAAAATTATTCTCTCGACTAGCATGTGTTTTCAAGTCAGACATTGCCACCTTCTGTTGCAGAGAGTCATCCCTGATCTCAGGTGGCAAGATAAACTGATTTTCTACGGTGTTTTTTCCTTGGAGTGGGGTGTCAGCATTTGTTCCCCCCTCAGTCTTATTTAAAGATTGGTTCTGGCAGAAAAACCTCAAGTTCCTCCTTTTAGAGATCCAATCAACTGTTCCATGGTTGCACAACCTCCCCTCTCTTTTCCACCTTTCATGTTGTAACCTCTTAAACTCCGTTCTTTTTAATCTAGCTAATGTTAAATTACTTTTCACATTTAACAGTGGAGAGCTAACCATTTTATGCAGTATATGCAACTTCCCTGCTGATTTTGAAGGAGAAGATAGTGCAAATTTTTTAAAGTGCTTTCGGAAGGGGCTGGTATTAAAATGAGAATATTTGGTTCCTAGTTTAATTCCTCTGGTATTTATTACTTCCAAAGGGTTTCGAGCATTTGCCTTTCTAACTAGTGAAAGAGACTGTGTTTCTGTTGTTTGCATGAACCAGATACAGAGTTCGTTCAAATCATACTTTTTCCGAAAAAGCATTTTTACAGGTGAAACTTCAAGTTCTAAAAGACAGGTTTCCAAAGGGTTGGCTATTTTGAAATTATCATTTTCGATGCGTTCTCTTTTTTTATGAACACAGTTTTCAGCTTCATCTCCGCTCACTTGCACCCAAGCATTGGTTATTTGCTCAAATCTATTGTTTAATTCTTCTAATAAGGAATCGTTTGAAGTAGAAGCAGCCCACCACCTGAGCAAGGGGTTTGATGAGATTATAGGGTCCAAAGATACTTCAGAAATGGGTATTAATTTGTTATCTTCCAAACGCATTTTTGCATTCCTTGAGTTCCTAGTTCCCGGGGCACCTTTCGAAGCTATTTTTATCCTTGACTGCCTATGTCTTTCCTTCTGCCTTTTACCTTTCTGCAAATGGAGTTTATATGACTTACGGAGCAGAGCGTTTCCATAAAGAAGTGAGCTGGAAGATGCGAATGGATGTAAGAAATGGAGAGATGGTTTTCCATCCCTAACAGAATGTCTCAAAGGTACAGTGGCAACCATACTTTTGGATCCATTCTCACATACGTCAGCGCCAGCGTCGGCGTGCCTTGCACCCACCTGACTGCACCGGTGTTCACGCTTCTCTTCAGCTACGTGTTTTTCTAACATATTTTCTTGTTCTAAAGGAGGCAGGCAGCTGCTAATGCTCACTTCTCTCTCCTGAGGTGAAACTCTGTTAATAGTCACAGATATGCCAGAGATTTTCACCTTTGCGGGCCGACCAGGCTTCCTAGTTCCTGCAGAAGGCTTCTGATTCGGCCGAGCAACGTTCTTGGAAGGTTGAGGTATCACAGACTTGTTCTTGATGGGCCTAACGTGTTCAAAGCCAGACCCCAAGATCTCGCTTTCAGTAGTCGAACTTGAAACAGCACTTCTTCTTTCACCTGAGTCAGTCTTGGGTTCTCTAGTATTTCTGAGGCCACTACACTCAGCTGGAAAATCAGCAACCTGATTGCTGCCAGACCTAACGCTGCTGATGTTCACAGCTCCTTCAGAAACATGTCTTTTAGCTCTTCTTGACCTTCCATAAATAACAGTGACGGTGATGCTCTTTTTATGAACACCTTCTTTTACTTCTGATAGGAGAGATTCGGGACTTTTCTTTCCAGCACTAGAGGACTCATTCTGGCAAACGGTGATGTCTGTTTGCTCGGCCTTAGGTTTCGGGGGTCTTCCAATTGGCCGCTTAGCTTGCTTCACAACCTGGGGACCTATTTTTTTAGGTCTGCCTGGCTTTCGTTTGAAAGATGAATCCATACCACAGCTTGGATTTTCCTTCGGTTCGTCTTGTGGCTTATCACTATTGATGTCATCTATAAGCATTGCAGAGGATTCTGTAGTTTCACTTGCACAATTCAATTTATTTAGTTCTCCCTGAAGAGTGTCACAGTCATTAAGATTAGAACTATGATTTTCCAAGTTAGCGTTTGGGACGTCCTCATTGGTTTCTGGTTTTTTGTCAGTTACGTGAGGAGTTGGACATTCTTCAGAAGGAAGATCAGTACTGGACTTGGAAGTACCAACTGAAGTTAAAGTATATTTGACTCCTTCACTGCTTTTAACCTCAGATAGAAACATGAGTTTGATGGGACTAGAATAGCTGGAAAAAGAAGAGCTTCCAAAGCCCTCATACTTTGTTGGCACACTTGTAACACTGGAAATCAAGCTACTTGTATCTGAAATTGATGACTTTTCCAGATTAACACGTTTTTTGCTATTCCGATCTATTGTCGGCATATGACTGTTTTTGATATTGCCGGCCGCTACCACAGATTTTGATAAACTCTGCTCTTTGCATGTCATTCTGCTTACAGTAAGGGTCATATTTCTACCTGCATTTTCATCCTTACCATCAATTTCTATCAATTTCTTGGATGCCCTGCATCCTTCAGATGAGTGATTATTCCAAGACTTTTTGGCCATATTTATCGTGTCTTCCAAACGCTCCACAACAACTTGTAAGTTAGAATTCATTGCAATTTTGCTTAGATCTATATTGTGTGAGCTTTCAATTTGAATATTTTTTACTGGATCTTTTCTTTTTGTAGATTCAGAAACTTTTTTGGCCTTAGGGGACTTTTTGAAAACATAATTATTTGTGACATATATAGAGTACCACCCTGGGGGCACAATATTTCGTTTAGTTCTGCTCAGAAGTCCAGGAACATCACTCTTCAGAGGCGTTTCAGTATTCTCCAGTTTTGGATTCTCCTTGTGATTTTGCAAAAGTTTTTTTCCAGCTGCAGATTTCTCCTGTGATTTTCTTATGCTCATTTTCCCAGGGGAAGTTGTTTTAAAGCTTTCTGAAAATGCATCAAAAGCCAAGTTAGTCTCTAAACTATGAAGAGGTAGTTGCAATGATTGTAACGCACAATCTGGTGAAAATGATGTTTCTACATGATTATTATCTTGCAAGCTTTTAGAATTTTGTAAAGACCCTTGGCAATGATAGAATTGTTTGTCTGTTGAAAATATCTCATCATTGCGTGTCAACTTCCTTGAATTTTTTTCAGTGTATTTTTTTCTTACAAAATTTTCATCAAGACTAGCAAGTTCTCTTTTTATTTGTAAAGAGTGTCTTCTAAACATGGGTGAATCAGGAGAGTTGTGCATTGAAAATAAGGTTTCTTGACGCTTTCGAAATCTTGTCTGAATAATTTTATTTTCTACCTTTTTATCATGTTGGCTCAGCAATTCCATAAAACTGTAATCACTGGCCTTAGCGTTATGCAAGAGTGAGGCTATTAAATCTCTCAATTTTAAATCATTATCTGTAGTACAATCACTGCTAGAAAATTTTATAAGGTTTGTCATATCTGTAGTTTCTATCGATTTTAATTTTTCATTAATACGATCCATTAAATCTTGAAAAATCATAGTAGTTTCACCTTTTTCATGATTCGTAGTACAATTATCGCTGTCTTCCAGGAGCAAATAGTCAGAGCTACTGCATTTCTTAGCTTTTTGTATTTTACCTTCGTGATCACCCTTGTCACTGTTTATTTCTGCTGGTATGAGAGATGGAGGCTGGTTAATGTTCATTTCAAGTCTGTTATTTTCTAAGGCTGAAAGCTCCGAGACGACATCTTTCAGTTTTTCAAATCCTTCAGTCTGTACAGGTGATAACGGTGGGGGTGACGGACTTCGTGATCTACAAACACCCTCGAGTCGGACTGAAACATCGCATACTTCCCTTGATGAAAGAGGAGCTTGAAAGGTCGATTTTGTAGAGGGAAGGTTTGGTAACGGTCCAGGACAGCACCTGTGAGAACTATAACTGTTGGCAATTCCTCTATTCACCACTGTCTTAATGTGCTCAATAGTTACAGTTTGGCAAGTTAAACAACGTAAATCTTTAATACAGACTGGCAGAGGCACAAAACCAGGGCTTTGCCTTTCACTTTGTAGACCCCCTCTTTCTGCCAGCCTATATTCACAACTACAGAACAGACCATGTAAATCATCTTCAGTTAGGGGCTTTTGAGATTCTGAAGACACAGTATATGATGTATTACAATAGCAAAGAGAAGCAGCATTCTGCTCTTGGACTAGAAACTTCAACATGGCCAAAACTTGTTGCTGGTGACGTATGCACAAAGATTCCAAAACTTTGCTTAATGCTGATTTTCCTTTTTCCATTTTAGTAGCTTCCTCTGATTTTGCATCAACAGTTGAACTAAAAATAAAAATCAAACAAAAAATGAATTACAGCAAAAATACCAGTATTATAAGGAGTTATAATTTTAGCAGAGTTTGAAACAAAAGAAATTTTGGTATTGCTGGACTCCTAACTCCTATAGAGCCGCAACAGTGACATCCTGATTCTTGTTCAGCCACAATATAATGAAGCACTGATGATAATTAATTTCCTACGGCAAGGATAATAGTCAAAGGAAAGCCCTAGTTTTGTAGAAGACCTGAGTATAGATATGATTATATTTATAGATTGCTAATGTTTAGTGCTTTGGATGTATTAAGAATATTTAGTGGAAAGTGCTTCATGAGTTACATTTTTGGAAGTATACATTTTATAAGTTATTTTGATAATTATCAATCCATTATTAGTGCAAGTAAGAAAAATAAGATGTAGGAGATATTCTTTATTTAAAATAGATATTTTTTCAAGGTAGTGAAAATAAAAATTAATAAAAGACAGCTTTGCATACTCACAAGGAAAATTAAGGAATTTAGATTTCATGTAAATTACAGTATTTTTTCTAAGATTAAGCTGCAGGCATTTTAACCTAATAATAAAAAATTTAAGCTATTTAAAAATAAAATCTATTTTTAATTGATTTTAAATACTAAAGTAATTACACGAAGACTAAAGGCATTACTTACCTAATTATTTAATTTCAAATGCTGGAAAATGTCCCACTGAAGAAGCTAATATACATCTAAATTTAACTAATACCCAAGATTACTTAGCAACCAAGGCACAAGTGTACAAAAAAATTTTTTTAATCCAATACCAGCAGCAAGAATAAAATATATTAAAAGAATTCTGTTTCAGAAAAGTATCTATTTAAATTAAACATATCACCAAACTCTGTTACGTGAAAATAACCTCCCATTCATGATTTCTTATATTTGCTATTATTAGTAGTAGCTCTGCTTTATAGAAATTTTATTTAGGGTTGGAATTGGGATATATTGATTATGAATTGCTACAAAAGACTGTTATCTTGTTTAAAGGGTTATTATATTCATGTGTATTAAAAAATAAAGGATTTTTATTTTAAAATGAAAAGTGAAATTAATTTTATTTTGCTCTCTAAAATGGCTTAACCTGTTTCACAGATAAGTATGCAATATTTAACTACATTTTATAAATATTATGTTATTTGAGTAGCAAAAACACTGAAGCAAATTCTGAACATTAGATAAAAATTTTCTAGAAAAATGATAACTTTACTAGATTCAACCAATATTTCACCAAGACTAACATGTGATTTGACAAAAGCAGTCATCAAAGTGATAAGATATGATGAAATTAACAATAAAACATTTCAAGTCCACAGACATGACCCCAATATCCCTTCCTTTCTGAAAAAATATTTTTTTCTTCTGGTAAATTTTATCACAAGTGCTAGTCAATGATGGAATGGATTCCCAAGATTCACTATTAAATAATTCAAAAAATATATGGAGAACAAAGACATAAGGAAATGTTAATTATCAAATATGAAGATTTAAGTGATTTTATACTCTTTTTCCAGCAAATTAAAAATTATAATTTTCACATAAGCACTAAAAAACCCAAAAGAGTTCTGAAAGATGCATTTCTTTAAAGTCATGTTACGGCCTATTAAATATATCTGTGAATAAATCGAGATTTTGTTTCTTATAAAAATTCACCGCATCATATTTTAAAGATTATTTTCCTAAGTTTCAAAAATGCTTACATGTTTTTTGTTAGTAATGTCAAGTATAAAGTAGAAATAATTAAAACGAATGATGAGTGTTAACTATTCTGAAAACCACCCCAAGTTTTTTACAACTGTCTTCTGAGATTTCAAGGAAGTTTATACTTCTGAAAAGTTTCTTATTCAGTTTATTACTTTTTTTTTTCAGTTTATTACTTTCAATAATGGAACTTCCATAATACCATAGTGGTAATTTCCATGAAATGGTATATGAAGAATAGCTTCATAAAGTGACTAGCTGGATATTCAGGTATTAGATTACATCTAATACACACATATCAAGATATTAGATAACGAAATTCTCAAATTACAAAATTCCATAATGTTTATTTGGCTCCAAAAATTTTCTTTTCTATATTTCTTGCATGTTAGAATCTCAAAGAGAAACCTAATATGAGTAAATAATAGTTGAATACATACAAGTCTCCAATCTAGAATTTACTCTCAAGTGATTATGTAAAGTTTCTATATTTTTCATAGCTCCCTTGTTTTTAATGTTAAATTTTTTCCTAAGTTTTTCCAGGATGATTTATAAATGAAAACATCCTATTTTTTTTTTTTTTTTGTATGTTACTATGGGGTTTGCTCATTACAGGTTTTGTTGTTGAAATAGATCTTTGGAGAAGTCAGTTTTTCATATTAATATAAATAATTCCTATAGTGAATCAAAAAAGTCAGTGTAGTCAGTTTTTTTCTTTTCTTTTCTTTTCTTTTTTTTTTTTACTGAATGAGTAAATCAATCACACACCAACAGTGTTGTAAATTTAAGTGCAAAAGCATTGAAGTGCTTTACTACAAATTACAACCTAGAAACACGTTAACTGAACAATTAAAATTCATACAATCAGATTTAGATATATAACAACACAAAGTAGGAACAGAATTACAGTACATTTACAACACAAGACAGATACATGAATTCATTAGAAAATATTGTAATAAATAATTCATGAATTATAGTGCAATTGATTTATGCATAAATATAACTAATTGCCTAACAATCAGTTTATATTAACAAAATCTGTCAAAATCAAGGCAGCCACAGAGTTTTACTAAATTACTGCGACAATGGAAATACTGCAATTAAAAAACAAATACAAGTATTTGTACTGTAAACAACTAAAAAAATCAGTCTCACTAAAGTTAGTATACAATTTAATATAAAATTGTCATTAGCTACCAGAAATGGTTTAAACAACTTTACTGAGCAGTAGTTTTCTAAAAACAGAGGCACTGTTTTTTCTTTTCCTTCTTTTTTTTTTTTTTAAATATAAAATACTTGAGGAACATTCAAATAAGTAGAAAGCACATAAGGGTTGCTTTCACCTTCATTAAAAGTCTGCTGAAACTGGATTTTTCAGAAAACTGTCAATTAATAAGTAGTAACTGGTAACTAACTTTATAAAGTACTTTGAAAGTTTAACATAAAGAACATCTTTATAGAATCACTGGGGAGAAGGGGAACCCATAAATTTCCCTGCCTTTCCTAGTTTGTATAATCAAAAGTTAACTCAATAATTAGAAACATTTTGTTTCTTTTAAAAGTTATGGGTTGATCATTACCTATAAACTATCAAAAAATATTTAATTTACTATTTCTGACCAAAAATAAATAATACAAATACTAAATGCTGCAAATTAACTATAATATTACCTATAAAACTACTGATCACTGTGAAGTCAATAGCAAAATGATCCCTGATTTTATGAATCCTGTAAAGTTTTTGGTCAGGTCATCTTTTAAATGATATAAAAGTGTTCTGTAAGTATCCCTTTACTATAAACTTCTCAATCAATTTATTAATGTAAATATAGTGTGAGGAATAAAAAAGCTCAATATAAATATTATGTAATGCATTCAGGCCCCCAAATTTTTGCAAGTAAAATTCTGTATAAAGAGGTCAATAAAATCGTGGTGAAACATTTACTTTGTTTTTTAAATTTGTTTTTCAATGGGGGAGGAGGGGAAATATATTAGATAATCCAAGTTCTGGCCCTCACAAAATATGGCTTAATTCTTTAAAAAGAAAGATGACCCTGACATCTGCTGTTTTGCAATCTATTACGTATATTTACTTGGGGAAAAAAAAAAAAAAGAGCAAGAGGATTCATACCCTAGTATGCAGGTAACGTTAAGCTGAAGAGGGTTCAGTATAGATCTAAGAGACCAAATAACTACCTGGTTGTGTAGTTTCCCACTCTTCAGTTTCTTTAAACGTAATGTAAGCAGTTTTTAAATGTAATAGCTGAAAATCTCTTTAGTATTACATGTATATGTGATTATTAGATACACACAAACACAAGTGTAAAAACACAAGTATTTGACAAGGTGCACTTATTTTTTAAATTCAGCTTTAAGTATTCCTTTTGGACTTAGGAAAATTGGCTTAGAAAATGATCGGAACCTGAATTTTAACAGAGAAAAGGGGCACTCGGAGAATTCTGAATATATGAAGCAAATCCCCATTCTTTATATGGAGGCACATGCTTTATAACATTTTACCACTAAAACTGCATACTCCATAAATCCAACATGGATACTCTGAACCACATTTTAAAACTGCTATATAAAAATTATTGGTCTCTCTTATGAGTCTAGTAAAAGTTAAAATGCACTGCCCAGCTTCTAACTACCCAATTAGTAGAGAGTTTACATTACTGAAAGTTCAAAACAGCTTCAGTGTTAAACATCTGTAAATCTATTCAAGACCCTGAACAAACTGCAAATTTGGTTATTAGCAAAATGATAATGTATCGCCCACCAAAATGAAATCTGTAATTCATTTTGATAAACTGAAAATGTTTTGAAATGTCACAGCAGCAAATATATTAAAGTTACACTGAGGTTTTTCAATAGTAGGAGTGTGTCACAATCCTTAAAATTTAAAGTAGTCATAACATCAACTAACCAGCACATTTAAACCAAAATTATCATTCTCAAGCTTTTTCTGTGCACATTATAAACATGCTCTAAGTTGCATTCCAACTTTCTTTTCTAACCTTACACATTAGCTTATTTTTCAAATGAAAAACAAAATTAAATTATTTTAATAATTAAATTTAAATTACTTTTTGTTCTTAGTATTCCATCTTATATTAAAGGATTCTATGGCTGCTGGGGTTAACTATGTGTCAGTTTTTTTTTTTTTTAAAGTATATACCTTATAAACCCCAACTTCCTGTAAATCAACTATTAAATGATAAATATTAAATTTCATTATACATATCATTTAAGGTTTTCTTTTCTATTCCTGGTGGATGCACTTGAGTGCATTTCATATTTCATAGAATACACTGTAGTGTACTAATACTGTATATATTAATTTTTCTTAGTATGGAGATACTGGTCTATTTAAACTTTGATTGGTTGTTTGATGTACTTACAATAGCTGTAAGTGTATTAGGTAAAAATGTTTACAAACTATTAATATCATATTTCCATTATAAGATGGTTCAACTGAATGGCTGGAGTGGTCTTTCACCAATAAAAATGTTTCACTTGACAATTACTTGTTTTTCCACAACGCTTTATGCTATTGACTACTAAAGAAAACCTGAATCTTTTTCACCTATTTATACAAGGATTAAATACAAACTATCAGAATTAAGTAAGCAACTATATAATTCTGTCCACAGTGAAAACCCTGAATAAAACTTTTTTCAAAAGGCATGTAAGTGGTTTTTGAACTGTAAAATTTCATGTCTCCTGTCAGAGTGAGCATCTGTAATTCCCACGTGTGTGTATATAGACACACAAACACACACCTGTGCACATACACACACACACACGCCAACACACACACACACACACACACACACACGCACATACACACATACAAACATTCTCCTAACAAGTAATCTACACAGGCTTGCTGTTTTTGCAGCTGCCAGTCCCTGAATCTGTCATATTATATAACCCAGTGTCTGGTAATCGGAGTTTCTTCTTCGGAGGAGTCTTCAGTGTTCCAGATCTTTCTTTTACCTTGTATTCTAAAGTGCTGTGAGGTACCCCATAAATTCCTTGTGCTTTGGAAACACTCATTTTTCCGCTCATTACCATTGCAATAGCCTCTTCCATTATTTCATGGTCGTATTGGCGATAACGGCCACGTTTTTTCCTGGGCTGCTTATTATCTTTTCGATCCAATCCATCTTCAGCATTTTCAGAGGTTCCATCAACTGTTCCATTTTTAGAATTAAGACACAAAGGAGAGAGGTCCCCATGTAGAAAATAAGAGTCAACACTTGAGTGAGTTACAGGCCCAGAACATTCTATTTTGTTCTGTTTAGGGAGTATATTTTTCAGTTTTTGGAGAGCTGATCCTTCTAGGACTGGAGAGGTTTTGGAAACTTGATACATAACATCCAGCAGACCAGGACCATCAGGTTGTGGTTTTGAAACAGAACTTACTCGGAGCTGAGGAATTTTTAACTGTACAGTAGGATGTGGAGTTTCATATTGTAGGCTTTCATTTTTTTCTTTAAATTGAGTAACCATTTTCTGTAGAGTTAACTGATGGAGGTAACTGGAAGCTGTTGGGAATTTTAATTCTGAGGTTTCAAGTAGATTGAGTTTACTTTTTTCTGTGCGCTCTGCTTGAGCTCTTGCCCACAAGGCTACTTTTTGCAGTACTGCACAAGTTTCTTTACTGTCTTTATATGAGTAACTATCATTGAAATCTCGAGTTTTGTTTTTAAAAGACGCAGGCTTCCCTGCTGGTAAGGCTTCTAAGTGGAGAAGTAAAGTTTTTTGAGGTATGCCATAAAGTATGCCTGCTTTATTTATGTCCAGTGCTCCAGACTGAATGTCTTTCAAAGCTTTTGAGAGCAAACCATCTGCAAACTCAGCACTTCTTTCCACATAGTCCTCTCTGTTTCTGTGTAGTCTCCTGGATGGATGGAATGAAACGATGGTAAACTGATGCATGAGAGACTCTCACACAGCTATGGAAGGGGAGGGTCCACTCCTTTATTATACTCCTTGCTTAGGTAACATCACTGCTTATGACTCTTTTTAAGTCTGTGAGATGTAGTAGTTACTCCTTATCAAAGCAAACGCTACAGTCCTGGTAGGACAGTGTGTCAATCATACGGTGGCCTCAACGGGCAGACCTTCCAAGAACATAAAATCCTAACTCAGTATTTGTAAAAATATTCTCATGATGTTGCTATTCCTCTGACAGATGCTTGCAGAGCAACACTTATAATTTTTATTTGTACAATTAGAGTTCCATTATAAAAAATACCCAAATCCTAAAGGAGTTTTTGTTAGTAGAAACGTGACGTTACCGCTAAACAAGTAATAAAAGAGTCAACCCCTTTAAAGGAAAATTGTAGCAGCAAGAATATTTCCAAACACAAACACCCCGTATTTCCACAAGACTAATTTTTCTCTAGACAAAAACTTAAAATTTGTGACAAGGAGATCAGTTATATTTGGGTAAAATAATTTGATACTACTATGTTATTTCTGTTTCAAATATATCACTGTAATTTTCTCAAAGAGAAGCTAACTGTACCTTATGACTCAAAAGCTAGTACAGCCTTAGTTGAAACAAATTACACTCTCCAGCTAAGATTTAAATGTGACAAAAAAGCTTCCTATGCAGTTTGTTAATGGGAAGATGCAAAAGTTACTAAATAAAAATCCAAAAATCCAACAGAATAGCATCTCACTGCTGATTTTTTAATTAATTTAAAGAGAGCCTTCAAAGTATGAAAGGACTTTTTGTGGTGTTTGCTAGATATATATCATTGTATAGATTATATAAAGTTTGCCACCACACCTAAAGCATAGTGAAAAAAATGTAAATACTATAAGCTGTAAGAATTAGTAAGTACGGTACTTTTAAAATTTGCTGATTGTTTATAAAATTAAATAGCGAGATCACATATTTTCCTTAAAATTGCCTCCTGAATTTTAAATTTTCTCGACTCGTCCTGCTTCTTAAGAGGATGATTAAGTTGGTAGTTCATTTTAGTAACATGAACTAAAGTTTGGTGATTGTTCTGATAACTTTTCTTTAACAGAAAGAATAAAAAAGAAAGAGAAAGGACAAATGAAAGGTATGAGACACACATATGAGTGACAAAAATTCTGGAGGAAAGCTATATATGTCAATCTACTCAAAGTAGTATTAAGAGTTCTCTGTAGAGATAATTGTATATTAATATTAAATCATGTTTCCTAGATATTGCTTACCCAGCCATTGAATTTTCAGAAGAAGGATCACATATGGATGACTCTTCAGATTTTATGCTGGTTTTCTTTGTAGAGAGATCTAACACTCCATCCCCTATAATTTTTGCAAGAGAAAAAACTTTATATTTGTGACAGGTAGGTAATCCTTACATTTTAACATTTCATATTTTGCTGATCTACTAATTCATGACCTAAAAATTAACATTTGTATTTGACATGTGGCCGTTACCAACTCATCTTGTGGTTTTAGCAACAGGACATGACTGGGAAGGCACTACATAGGAAAAAAGAATCGAGAAGGAGCTGGCACTGCCAAATGATATGAAGAAACAAGCAGGCTGTGATATAAAATCTGTTTAAAAATCAACCTTTGGTCACTTTTCCCATTGTTCTGCTGTGAACAGCCATTAACTGCTTATTCATGACTTTTTTCTACTCAAGGCTGCTCAGAGGATGCTTCGAGAAAATAGGAATGATGTAAGTTGTACAAAACAGAGATCACAGAAAAAATGATGATGAATAAGAGAACAGTTATTAGCACTTACTAGGACTAGCAATATGTGGAACATATATTTAGGTAAACTGTGACTCCACATATAACCAATCTATTTTTCTTTCAGAACTCACTGTAAAATTTTACTATTTTACATAGCTGAAATGTATAACAATTGCATCATTGCCTTTGTGATATACTGTGTTTATATCTGTGATTGGATGAAGACATTACCTATAACAATATAACATTTTAGGAAAAATAGCTTGTTAGAAAACAACTGCCTGAGTATTTATTAAAATGTAGTTATTTTTATGACTATTATAACATTGAATTTACATACATAAAACATGTTAATCTGACAAACTTAAGGATGGAAAAGAATAAAAATATACTATGAATTTAAAACAGAGCACTAAATAATACTATTTCTTTACTGATAGCTAAAAATTTGGAAATTTAAGTTATAAAGAATCATTATAAGAAAACAGGTTTAAAAAATATAAAAATTCAAGTTGGCTTAAAAAAACTGGGTTTTATTGTTACCATGCAAATTTACCCAACACTTAGGTGGCCTGGCAAGATACAAAGACAAAAATAAAATGCCTCACTCGTATCTTGCTATGTGTAATTCAATGATTTTATTGAGTGCCTACTATGTGCAAAGCACTATTTTAGGAATTGGGAAGCAGCAGTAATGAAGGCATAAAAAGTACCTTTTGTCATGGTGCCAACCATGACCAATCAAGCATGTTATCTGGGGGAAAGCTTCTATCGGGAACAGTTTGTGCAAAGACTGTGATACGGAATCATTTTTGAAATGTCTGAGGAATAGCAACGAGGCCCAGGTGGCTGGAAGCCAGGCTGAGTGAAAAAGATCAGAAATGTAGGAAGGCAGATCACATTAGGCCTTGAAGGTCATGGTGAGAAATTTAAATTTATTTATTTTATTTTTTAAAAGATTTTATTTATTCATGACAGACAGACACACACACACACACACACACACACACACACACACACACACACACCACACAGAGGCAGAGACACAGGCAGAGGGAGAAGCAGGCTCCACGCAGGGAGCCCGATGCAGGACTCAATCCAGGACCCCGGAGTCATGCCCTGAGCTGAAGGCAGATGCTCAACCGCTGAGCCACCCAGGCATCCCTGAATTTTATTTTAAGAGAGACAGGAAACCCTTGGAGGATTCTAAGCATTAGACTGACACAATTTTAATTTATGCTTTTAAAGGATCAATCTGTTTTCTGGCAAGGGGGTAAAGGTGGAGTGGAGAAACCTGTTGGGAAAGGACTAGGGTATTCCTAAACTCTGGGCTTTCATACTTTGTTAAGTTTCCCCTGTTAGAAGACTCTTAATTCTTTCCTTCTATCCTCACACTCATCCTAATTCTCACCAAATCTTACTGGTCATTACTTACTTATTCAATCGTTCAGGCCACAACTTGGATTTGGGTGACTGTCACTATTCTAGGTTCCTACACTTGCAACACTTACCTATAATATTTGGCATTAAGCATGCTATATTCTAGTTGCTTATATATTTACCAGTGTTAGCCATGCAGACTATAAACTATGAGAAGGCAAAGACCATGTCCCTTTTATTCACCCGTGTATCCCCACCGCCTAGAAGAGTGCCTGGCACACAGTAAGTGTAGAGTAAATATTTGCTGAATAGAATTTTGAAGAATTAAAAAAGGAGACTGGATAAGCATAAGGTACATAGTACCTTGAAAAATTGTTGAATGAAGCATCTTGCCCCAGGTTATCTGTTCAGCTCAATTTTTTATGTTTTGTCTCCAACTCAGCTCAGCCCCCTCAGGTTTCCCATGGATCCAATCACTTGCAGTCCCTCAGACATGCTACTCTCAAACTGCAGTACGTGGTTCCCTCCGCCTAGAATGCTCTAACCTTTTCAACTTGTCAAACTCCTACTCGTCCTTAAAGATCCATATGCCCCCAAGCAAAGCTGATTATTGTTTCCCTTGTGTTGACATTTACGACACTTAATGACACTTGTGACACTGTCTTGAATTACTGATTTATATATATATATATATATATACACATACATCTTTTTATCCCACAAGACTGAATCCTTCAGGTCAAGGATCTTACTTATTTGTATTTCATAAGTAGTAGAGTGCTGTAACCTACTAAAAGAAATGAATGTTGTCTTCTCCTTTACTATCTCATTTCTCTCCTTCAACAATTAAAAACTTTATTATTTCAAGACTTTATAAGATCATCTTCTTTAAAAACCATTACTACCTAATCCATATTCAGATTTACCAGTTTTTTTAAAAAAAGATTTTATTTATTTATTCATGAGTCACAGAGAGAGGGGCAGAGACACAGGCAGAGGGAGAAGCAGGCTCCCTGCGGGGAGCCTGATGAGGGACTTGATCCCGGGACCCCGGGGATCACAACCCTGAGACAAAGGCAGATAGATGCTCAACTACTGAGCGACCGCGGCGCCCAAGATTTACCAGTTTTGATCCTGCTCATATTTTACATAGTATACAGCACATAAAACACACTGTCCATGAATCTGTTATTCCTAGTCGATGTTACAAAATGAATTAATGAAATTTCTCCAATTCTTTACTCTTTTAGACTTTTGATATAATTTAAAGTTAATTAGTCCACAGACCAGAAATAAGAAAAGGAGGTCCAGGGAACAACTCCTCTCTCTCCTTTACATTAACTATGCCTACTTGTCTATTGCTCTCTAGTTAGGGCAGTAAAGGCATTCTTGTCCTTTTGGGGCCATTCTTAGACACATGGCCCTGGTTAGGGATAATTTTAATCTTAAGGATGAACTAAACCTAAGTCTTATTCCATCTCCATCTTTAAGAGAGCTACCCAAACCAGGTTTATACTCCTGATTTCTTTTCTTTCAGAACGCTAAACAGTGACCGAGGTGAGAGATGCTTTCATTTTTTCCCCACAGCCTTGTCTCCATATCTAGGCTACCTATGTTAAAAGCTTTGCTCTAGAAGTATTTGCTAACTTAGATAACACATTATCGTTGTTATCTAGTGAAGACAGAAAATATACTCCTTCAACATATTTCTACCACACAGTAAAATTATGTAATCAATGAACATTTGTGTAGTGATTACAAGATAGATACATAAATATATAAATAAAGAACTTTAAAAGAAATTTTAGTTGTCACAGAAAATCTCACTTTCTGTTAGCAGTACTTTGGCCTATAGTAAAGTATTTTGCTGATATCCTTACTTCTTTATACACCATAAAAGCTTGAGCTCAAGAGCTAGAAAAATCACAGAGTTATCTCTAGGACTGTCCAAATTAGAAAAGCAAAACCAGTAAGAGAAGGGGAGAGACAGCCTGGGAAGGCTTGAGAAAAAGAAAGATCACTAATAGGCTTAATGGGCATTTTCTTGCTCCTGCTGATTTAGATCTAGCTGAAGTGATTACCTCTACGAGCATCACTCCTTCACATTGGAGACAGCACATCATAGCTAGATTGTTTTGCGTGCATATACTTCCAAAGTACTAATGATTAACCTAATGGATAACTAAGCACATTTTTAAAAGATTTTATTCATTCACCTGAGAAAGAGAGGGAGAGAGAGCAAGTGAGTGAGCATGAGCTGGGGGCAGGGAGGGCAGAGGGAGAGGGAGACGCAGGCTCCTGACCAAGCCAGGAAACCAACACAGGGCTCAGTCCCAGGACTGTGGAATCACGACCTGAGCCAAAGGCAATACTTAACCACTCTGGTGCCCCCTTTTTAAGGATTTTATTTACGAGAGAGAGAGAGAGAGAGAGAGAGAGAGAGAGAGAGAGAGAGAGAGAGAATGAATGAATATATGAGCGGGGGTGGGGGGCAGAGAAAGAGAGACAAGCAGACTCCCTGACGAGGAGGGAGCCTAACTACTCAAGGCTTGATCCTAGGACTCTGAGATCATGACCTGAACCAAAGTCAGACGCTTAACCAACTGAGCCACCAAGGCGCCCCCAAAACTGAACACTTATTATGTTCCAGGGCAATATAAAGTAAGTAGAAGACAAAGAGACTGAAATTTATTTACTGTTCAACTACTGGTAGGTACTTAGGTTATTTGTGTTTTACACTATTACAAACAATTCTGAAATGAAAGTCTATTTAAATGTCGTCTTGTGCTCATGTATAAGAATTTTTTTTTTTTAATATACACCTAGTAGTGTAAATGCTGGATTTACATTTTGGAATTTAGTAGATACTACCAAACTTCTTTACCATATCCTTGATTGACATTTGGTATTGTTGAGATTTTAAATTTTTGCTAATCTGGTAAGAAAAGCAGATTATAGGAATAAATTAACAAGAGTGCACTTAGTATGCATTAATGCAAATTTTTAAAGCACACAAAATTATTTTACTTATAAATGCATAATAGGTTTTATCAAAGGTTGCTTCTAAGATGTAAACAAAAGGATGTGATAGTTCCTTAAGAGAAAGCATATCAGAGGCAAACATGATCAAATAGTGACAGGAACATTACTATTTCTACATACTTGGAAATTACCTCATAATAAATACAAATTATTCCCATTTACTTGTTAATAGACTT